CTAGCTAGCTAGTTATCTGGTCTACTCTCGGAAGTCTGTTCGCTGATTTAAAGGAATCATTTAGAAAGTATAGACCTGATGGTCTCTAGACCTGATAGCAGTTTCGATAACACTAACAAGATATTTCCCCTGTTCTTTTTCTCTGTTTTCCATAGGGAACACCTGATGAGTCTTCATTCTTAACTCACGACTCAACTCTTTAGTTGCTCTAAGCAAAGCCGTTAGAGGTTTTCCCTTGAGCTTAAAGAAAGTCTTGAATCTCACGGATAAATCTGTGAATTACACAAATGTACTCTTCTATTCTAGTTAACTCTAATGAGCGTATTTTATCGATATTTTTCCTCTGCTGCTGCTCCTGCTGCTCCTGCTGCTGCTGTTGCTCGCTTCCTTTTTATTAAGAAACCCAACAGATTTGCTAGTGATTACTGGTTTTCCCACCCACACTCAAGGCGGCCCGTAGACATCCGCTTGGTAGTGCGGCTGAGTGTGAGTGAGAGATGAAGGCGAAAATCATCTCGACAGCTGAACAAACAAGTCATAATTTGACGAGGAAATCGCTGCCATTGCTGCGCATCCTGCTTCCTGCTGCCACAATTTTCCTGTGTGTATCGTCCCTCTTTGTTTTTATTCTTCTTCTGCCGTCATTTAGCCGTTAGGAAAACCCCTAAACGTTCATTGTTCAAAAATCCAAAAAGGAGTTATTTCTCTAGTCCCACACACACATAAACACCCCCCACATACACACACCCACACACACACACATGCATGTGGCAATCCGTAGCACTCACATCTTCATTTCCCTATCCTGTTCATCAGCTAGCAAAATGTCGCTCATTTATTTTGATTACCTTTTGCCGAGCGGGTAAAATGCCAACAGATTTTTCTCTCTTACTCGATGCGTTTTTCATTTCTTCATTACGTTTTATTTTCCAGAGCATACACTTTTAATATACCCAGTCCATTTGTAGTTCATCTGGACGAGTGCGATGAGTCGACGAGGGGGACGGATTTCTATTTGGCTTCTGCCGTTCTGGCCAACTTGAATTTTAGTTAAGAGCTGAATCATGGCCATCAGCGTTGATGAGCTTTATTCCCCGGTGACACTTTTCGCTTCGTACAAATTTAGTGTGGCAAATTTAGCACACACACACACACACACAGAGGGAGGAAGAGGGAGGCAGGCAGAGACACGCGCCACAATGGGCATTGGGCAATAATAAAGTTGCTAGAGTTGAGAGAGGATCCTTGTTGGCTCGTCTCGTCCTGTCTGGGGCTCCATGTTTCCGTTTCGTCTTGACTTTTGTTTGCCATTCTTGCCAAAACGAAATTCCATTATGAATCCTTGCTCATTGTTTTGTGCAATGTCGGTTTGTGGGTTTATCAAGGGCGTGCCGTTCCGTTCCGTGCCGTTCCGTTCCGTTCTGTACTGTACCGAGAGCTCCTGGTTGCTACGGCATACCCATTCCATTCGCCTACACAAAATTAATATTACAATTTTTGCGCTGTCGACTCTCGCTCGCTGCCCCGGTAATGGGTCCGGACCGGGACCGGCAGAGGCAGCGGGCAGGGATAGTGGCAGGGGACGGTGCCTGTCATAAGAGGCGAAATTATTTCAGAAAGCATATTTCAAAATGAAATTTTCTTGCGGCTTTTTGCTAAAACAAATGTTTGGCCTGGCCGGAGCAACGCCTGGACGGCCGTGCGCCCTGGCTCTGGTTGGGTGAATCGAGCCTGTTTTATAATGAAATAAATTTCATTTGCTCATTGAGTCGACAAGCCTGCTTGGCCGACATGTGTGGCCAGGCATGAAGACGTTGTGGAATTTGCATGCATGTTGCTTGTGCCAACCACCAACACCACCGAAAGTGGGACGCATTAGGACGGACTTTCAGTTTGTGGCCAGGCGTGTGCTCAGCGTCGCATTCAAGGTATTAGGTTATGGCCGAAATGAAATATGACAAGCCTGACAAAAGGACGGCATCTATTGCCCGCACACATGTCGCCTGTCCCAACAGCAATGAAACGTGCAACAGCAGCAGTTACGGCAGCAGCAGCAGCAGCAAAACCACTGGCAGTGGCAGCAACACCCAATAGCAAATATTTTGGCTCATGTTGCGCACTATCGCTGGCTATAACAAAAAGGAGAGCATCCCTGCGTCCTTCACATCCTTACTCCGTTCAGCTATCGCTGCTGTCCGACTGACTGTGCATTAAATGCCACTCTGGCAGCCAGTTCGCTTTAGCTTCACTCATTTCCAGGACGATGGCTATGTGGATGACGGCTGCAAGGATGAGGACGAGGCGGCGGAGGACGAAGACGAGGACGAGGACGACTATGACGATGATGTTCCGAGTCCACCGAGAAATGTTCCCCCGCTGCGCTCCGCTCGCTCCCCTGCGCTCCGTTCACATGAAGTGAAGCCAAATGCTGAAGCAGCAGCAGCAGCAGCAGCAGCAGGCATTGCATATTTTCCAGCTTGTGTCGTCGTTGCGTCAGCGTCATCATTATACCCTGTAGCAGTGAAGGGGGTACGCAGGGGGTATCATAAATGAAACATATGAAACATGCTTAAGGCGTGTATTTGCTAAACCAAATTTCTGAAGCAGAAGAAGCATGCAAGCAAGTATGAAATATGCTTAAGGAATAACATTTATATAAAGTATTGAAGGGGTTG